CTCAATAAAGAAAAAGTTAGTACTACTACACCTTCTTGCTCTTCAAATCTTGAGAGTGCTAACAACTTTGCACAGTTCTTTAAATCAAAGGTCGACAACATATACAACAACATTTATTTAGAACAACAATCCCTTGAAGATTCTCCTAACTCAGATGAATCTGTTCCTCTTTCTAATAGCCCAAAGATAGTACAATTCCGTCATGTGTCTGATGAGGAACTAGTAAGCATCATAAAGAATATGTCCAACAAATTCTGTGATCTTGACCCCATACCTACAAAGATTCTCATCAAGTGTCTCCCAGAACTCCTTCCTCTGATCTCATTTATAGTCAATGAATCATTAGTTAAAGGTGAGTTTCCTATAAAACTTAAGGAGGCTCTCATTCGTCCAAGTTTGAAGAAACGTGGCCTTGACGGTGAATCTCTATCTAACTATAGGCCTATTAGCAATCTCTCATTCTTGTCAAAAATCATTGAGAAGTGTGTATCTATACAGCTCACCAGTTATCTTGAGGATAACAACTTGCTTTCTAAAGTTCAGTCCGGCTATAGGAAGTTTCATAGCTGTGAAACTGCAACAACCAGAATCCATAACGACATCTTGATAACTATTGACAAGAAAACTAAAGTTGTTCTTTTACTTCTAGATTTGAGTGCTGCCTTTGATACTGTCAATCACCCAAGATTAATCAAGAAGCTAAGATCTGCTTATGGCATTACAGGCATTGCTCTTACATGGATCAGGTCCTACTTGGCTAACCGTTCATTTTGTGTCAAAGTCCAGGATTCGTCTTCCTCATCAACTGTTCTTGAGATAGGTGTGCCACAAGGTTCAATCCTTGGCCCCCTGCTATTCATATTGTACACCAAAGATCTTGAGAACATTGCAAGTATGCATGGGTGCTATATTCATTTGTATGCTGATGACACCCAGCTGTATTTCACTCTTGATTCTGATGACCCATCACAGCTAGAGCACAATATGGAACACTGTATGTCTGATATCAAGAAATGGATGACAAAGAATTTCCTTCAACTGAATTCTTCTAAGACTGAAGTCATCGTTATATCCTCTAAATTTGACTCAAAAAATATTCCAGCCTCTCTACAGATTGTTAATGATCAAGAGCCACATGTTGTTAGTGGAACTGTGAAGAGTCTTGGGCTGTATTTGGACAGTTATCTTTCAATGAGTGATCAGATTACGTCAGTGGTTCAAGCATGTAATATTCAGATCAGAAATTTGTGGTTTATTGCATCAAAACTGTCTTTTAACCTTAAGATTCAGCTTGTTCATGCTCTAGTACTCTCTAGAATTGATTATTGCAATAGCGTATATTTTGGACTGAGCTCTTATGATTTAAGTCGTTTACAGAAGGTGCAAAATTCTGCTGTAAGATTTATTTTCGGGAGAGGAAGAAAGGCACACACTACTCCACTACTTAAGAAAGTTCATTTTCTACCAGTTAGATTTAGAATAGATTTTAAGATTGCCCTACTTGCCTACAAGTGTTTAAATAATATAGCTCCTCCTTACTTAAAAGAGTTGATATCTCCTAGGCAGCAAAGTTTTAAAAATGTACGTCTTGATAATGATTATTTTTACCTTAGTTTTCCGCCCTCTCCTAACTATGTAAACACAGAGAAAGCTTTTAGTCACTGTGCAGTTAAAGTATTTAATTCCTTGCCATACGACATAAGATCAGCTGAGTCAGTTACATCTTTCAAGACCAAACTTAAAACATACTTCTTTTCTCTAGCATTTGATTGATTTTGCATTTACATAGGTAAAATGAACTTGTCATGTCTAATTTTCAATTAAACTAAGCTCAGTTAATGTAAGAGCCGCTTTAGAAAGCACTGGAGTTTATCTCCAGGATTAAATTATATCGAGTTATATGATTTAGCTATAAGGCGGTTTATAAAAGTTGTAATTATTATAAATTATTATTAATCTCAGTACAGTCAGAATCCCAAAGATAAATACTGGACGTAATTGATGTTGGCAGGTAGTCAGTAAATGAAGGCAGCGAATTTATTCTCAAATAGTCACCAGAGTATGCTTCGTTCAGGTTAGCTGCAATAGAGGCAAAGTATTTATTGAACTCATTTGCAATTATACGACGATTAATCACACGTTCATTATTTATCACGAAGTTCGGCTTGATCTCACGTCTTTTCTTACCACGTAGTTCGTTGATTATCTGCCAGGTTTTCTTACTATCTCCAGCGCATTCTGTAATCTTAACACCATGATACTTACGTTTTGCAGAATTGATAAGGTGGTTTAATAACTTCCGGTGTGCCTTAAATTCTTCATGACGTGTTACCTTATTTGTACAATTATAACAAAGAGTAAGACAGTCTGCATGGCTAGGTGAAGAGTTGCTGAGGCATTTCTTCTTAACTGCCTTTTTCCATAGGTCATAAAGCTCATGTTTTCTATTTATAGAGGCAATTAGGCCAGATGTAATCCATGGGTTGTTTTTAGCAGTACGTTTAGAACACTTAGGCTGGTCTAGTTTACATGCGTTGTCTAGTTGATGATTGAATAGAGTGAAAAAAGTACTGAAATCTTCTGGTGGATCACTTGTTAATTCATTGTCTAGTACTTCGACAAATTTGTTCACATTAGTTGCACAGTAGTCATAGTACTGGAAGTGCTTTTGTTCATGATCCTCAGCACTGACTAGGGGTGAGTTGAATATGTTAAATACAGCATGATGGTGACTGATGCAGGTACTAATCGTTCCAGAGCAGATAGAGTTTTCGATGTTGGTGGTGAGTATGTTGTCAATGCATGATTGGTTACATCCTGGTTTATGATGCGTAGACGTAGAAATAAGTGGTGATAAACCTAGGCCTAGAATAAGGTTTTCAAAGTCTTGAACGAGTTTACTGTTTTCATCATGGAGATTAATGTGGAAGTCTCCTAGTATGTAAACATTCTTTTTTGAGCATGATTCAATCATTTTTCTAAGTTCATTTAGTGCCTCTGAGGCGTTCCCACTAGGAGGACGGTACAGAACTCCTACATGTAGAGGTTCATCATGTTGAATGGTAATAAATAGGGTTTCAAGATTTTTGGTTACCCATGATAATTCTTCGTTTACAACTCCATTAAGTTCGTCCTTTAAGTACAATGCTACTCCACTTCCCTTCGCTTTATTGATATGTTTATCTTGGTAGAAACAATTGTATCCCTCTAGATGGTAAACAGTGCTTTCCTCTATTCCAATATTGGTTTCAGCAAGTCCAATAATTTTAAATTTTTCGGCTATTAGGTCTAGTTCCATGCTAAAGGCATCAAAATTTGTTTTATTGCCATCTATGTTCTGGAAAATCATGGAGCAGTTGCTTGCAAAACACGGTTTGATATGTGTGTTAAAGTCCTTAATTGTATAGGATCTACAGTTTTCCAAAACATCAGACATCTTTTGGAGACATGGGTCACAGTCATTAACTTCAGGATCGGTCATTACTTTAAAAGGATTATATTTTTGTTAGATTGGCAAAATGCGCTATTGGGCTTTGCTGAGCTTCGAAAAATTGACATCGTCAATTAAGTTACACTCGTTAAAATAATGACTAACAATTAATTAAACTAATAAGCGAAGTTATAATTGTAATAACATGAACAATTATTTGTGACCCAATTGTGTCGTCCGTAATAATTGCCATGGATTAAAATAGTTATTAATGCAGATGTTGTATTGTTATTTATTAGTAAAAGCACATCATGTTATATTTTTAGCCTAAACGAGCTAAAACTTGTTGAGTTGTGAGTGATTAAAGTTTGTGTAATTAACACAAGCAAGCAGATTGATATAATTTTTTAGCCAGTTATCAATAGGACCAATTGACAAAATATTGCAAGACTATGCCTCAGTGTGAGACTTTTCTGGTCGCTACTAAACAAAGGGTACTCGATCCTCAACCGTGCCTTAGACAGTTATCTTTGCTCGATTTATTTGTGTATACTGTTTGAATTTGTACTTTACATTGCAAGTGGCAGACATAGAAACACAAAGACAAATTATGTGCATACTACTCTGGTAGCTCAGGCTTAAACAAATAAATCCCTAACCGATTTTTCATAATAGTATAGTTAACTGTATATGCACTGAATGGGGATGATGATAAATCACAAGTTCCAGTGTAGAATTAATAACTGCGCTCGTTGAACGGGACCCTTACAAGAATCTGGATTCCTCTTTTTAAACCTTCACTCACAGCTTTGTGACCATTTGGCCGACTCGACCTTGAGCTTTGGGGCTGTATAGGCCCCAATTAAGTCCTTACAATTAAATCCCTACGATTACATGTTATAGCCCATGCTAGTCCTAAATTTGGAAGATGAAAACCATGCAATCACTCTTGTCATTACCCACAGTACTTTCCTGTAGCTTTCAGAACCAAATTTAATTTCCATGTTTACTTATCTAAACCTTATATGCTTATGTTTACTTGTCTTAACCTTATCTGCACACAACCAAGATACTGCATAAACATGTATGTTTTATCTGTATGAACTTATTACCTTCTATTCCCCTATAAAAAGTTTTAACTGACGTTTAAAAGTTCAACCCATTGTAGAGAGGTATTTGTATTCCTCAAAATTTGTACTCCTTATAACTTCCTTTGGCACATTATGATGATGAATATCTTTTAAAATAACTGGCTACAATGAGCATTTTATTAACAATAAATAGTAGAGATCAAAAACTTTAATTTCCAACAGGAAAATGGTATATTAATGAAACAGGAAATTTCCATGATTCAATCATGTTCGGAGACTATTTTGAGAAAATAATACAGTAAAGTACTATAGGGTTAAACTAGCATGTAATCATCATACAAGGTTGATTAAGTGTTTATTAGTTGTTTGTTGCTGAATACTTTCACCACTTTGTTTTGAACCTATCCTTATTCCTTAAATGGGCAGTTTATAAGCACATAATTTTCTGTTCATTTCATTTTATAATTCTAATCAGATTTAATCTCAGGATGTTGAACAACGAGTTGAAGCCACCAAAGCCTCCAGAGAGGCCATTGATGCCTTACATGCGATTTTGTAAGCATGTTTGGGAAACCATCAAACAAGACAATCCTGAACTAAAGCTTGGAGAGATTGGTAAGATGATTGGACAGAGATGGAGGAATATGGCTGATGATGAAAAACAAAAGTACCTCGATCAGTATGAATCAGAAAAAGCAGAATATCACAGAGCTACGGCAATATATCAGCAGTCCCCTGCATATCAAGCATATCTTGCAGCTAAAGAACAACAAAAACACCAAGAACAGAAAGTTAAAGAGAAAGCAGCACAGATATCGTTTCAAGAACAAGAGAATCACAAGATGTTTTATGCCGAAGAAGATGATGGTGATGACGGATATAGCGAGAAACATATAGCCACACAACGTTACCATCGTAACCATGCTTACATTGCTGAACTCTTTCAAGAAGGCAGCGTTCCTGATGTGCGAACTGTTGTTACCAAGCAAAGGATGCTCATTCTTCAAAAGCAAGTACAGAGTCTTGTCTCTCATCAAAGTCAGCTGGAGGAAGAACTGCAGTCGATAGATAAATCTTACAGAGAGAAGAAGCAAAAGTATGATGAAAGCAATGATAGTTTTCTTTCCCAAATGGAGGATCTGAGAAAGAAGTGTGATGTGGAGAAAAATGATTTCTTTGAAGAATTGAAATCATCCAGTGATGGGAAGTCAGCTGAAACTCCAATGGAAACAAATTGATTCTTTGGTATTAGTGCCAACTTTGCACGTTGGGACTATGAAAATAGCATATTTTTAAAGATTTAATTATATTGTAAGATTCATGGCGCTAGACAATTTAGAAATTAATTATTACTATGATATATTATGTGTGATATGATTTTCCCGGATACAGCAGTGATGACTATTTGATAATAATATACAATATGAATTGGAAATCAGCCCTCTCGTATAATCACTACACATGAAGTGGCTATGTCTTGGTTTTAAACTAGGCACTAATCATGCAATTTACTATTTTATTCCATATTTATGACTGTCAATTATGTTATGTACCTATTGCAAACATACACTATACTTTTTCTGGTATCATCCATACATAATTTTGTTCTCATTTGGTTTTTTATTATTTATATGCCGTATAATGAAAACAATAAATGAAGTCCTATATCTTAAGATGAAAATTTCAAGACAGTCACTGCAATGAATAAATGTACATGATATATGTTAACAAACATGCAAAGCTGATAGCGATTCTATAACCAAATTCCTTTTCACAGCAGAATGAACCTGAGATAAAAACCATTCTGGGATGAGTCATATCTTATTTCTATTTTTCCTCTACATGTGAGTAAAAATTAAACTCTTTGTGAATAAGCCAAACTATAAATCGAACGTCTTATATTTACCTTGGGACCTATTTTTGTCCAAACTTTGAGCTAGTTATAGTGTAACCTCAACTTGAAAGTTTTTCAATCTGAATTGTTTGTCTTGAATAAAAACAGACTTTTCTATTTCAGCGTTCCTACTGCTATCTCACTTTCAATTAACGATTTCATCTCTAACACACCCGTAAGTTGTTTTTTTGGGAAGAGTTTTTCCGTGGATTTGTTACGCAACAAGTTTCCTGATAATGATGTTCATTGTCTTATATGCTTCTTGGTTTACTAGTACGTTGAAACAATTTCAGGAATCCTGGGCCGGAGAGAATGTTGCTATTGTTATTCCTGGCCTAACCTCATCGGTTAGTGAAACTTATGAATATCTATCATTTTTCATTTTAACCTCTAACTTTTAGGATCTTTAAGTATCTTCAGGCACCAAATTTAGCTGAAACGCAGCCATGCCATTGGTTTGAATCATACAAGCAATGCTTGATTTTCTGTTTGGACCACTTTCATCTGCCAGAGGATTGTGTTCAGCAACTTTCTTGGATAATTTCTGCATTCCCTCATCCAGTCGACATTCCGTTTCTATAATTACTCTATCCATCCTTCTATTTATTATGCTCAGTTCTTCATCCACTAGTTCTGTCATCCCTATTATCTTATCCTCCCCCTGTCGGATTGTTTCTCTTGTACTCTTTGCGACCCAGACTTTGTATGATTCCACTCGAGTCAGGAGAATTATTGGGTTTATCATCGCGTTTAGAGCGAGACACATGATATCACTGAAACTCCAAGAATAGTAGTACATAATGCTTGATGAGTAAAAAGGACCAGGCCATTCGTATTTGAGTCGTGTAATGGTCCAAAATATGTAGTTGACAACCATTGGCATGCTGAGTATTATATGGAGTGTTGTAATTATGATGATTGTAACCGTCGCTTTGCGCTTGATAGCCTGTGATGCCCTGTCTGCACTGGCATTTGTAACGCTGTGTTTTGAGTTTCTTACGCTAAGGATCGAGATCAGGCAGCTGATCATTACCACGAGTGTTGGCAGCGCTATTTGAGCAATGTAGAGAATGTTGTCAATCAGGTCTAGAGTAGGAAACAGCGCATGTTCTTCATTGTTAATAAGGTAACAGTAGACATCCGATCTAGTATACGCAGACTTAAAAATAGACATTCCTGAAAGAGACGGAGAGTTATATAACAGCAAGACTGATAAATATAAAGCGATGTGGTGATAATGCAATGTTAACTGTTATAAAATGGCTTTCAAACCGCATATAAAACAGTGAATTGCAAAAACTTCAGTAACAAACCTGTCATAGTTATATCGTAAATTAGTGTTAGCCCCAGATAAGCCCCTATCACTATCAGAACAAGCTTCCTCTTGATCGTCATCAAGGGGAACACCAAACTTAGGGTCCTGGTGACACTGAGAGTTCCGGTGAGGAACATGGCCATCTTTTGTATTATACGGTACACAAAACCCCACAGGAAGCATACTGTATCCGACCTGAACAGGGTGTGTGATCTATTGTTGAAAAAGGAGGCAGCAACGAATATCACCATGGAAGAAAAGGTGGCATCATTGATGGAAGTGCAGAGGTGAAGGCAGGTTGAGAGATCTTTATCTGAGCGAGCCCAGAAGTAACAGAACACAGCTATGTTTCCTGTGACACCAACTAGACTACATATCACGTAGATACAGCCGAATACTGTGTCAACTGCCGGCGAATTTGTGAATCCTGAAAGGGGTGATTTTGTTCAGAAATTCTCAAAATGTTGACATTATTTACTCAAATTTGTGGTGGCTCGACCAATTAAGTTGATAAAGTTGTCAGTTTTATCAAACAATATTTTTGTTGTTCCGCACCGTGATTAGTTGTCATAGGACCATCAGTGTGATTCTCCATGAACAATAGTCAGACGAGAAGTTCTAGAAAGTACTAGAATTCTAAGAAGACACGTTTAAGAACAACTGAGGTATCGAACTAGAATCCATAATGTACACTGTACAGCTATTGTCCAAATTCTTGCTTCAATCGGACCGTTCGCGTTCGTTTGACAGTATTCCTATTGTTCGCATGGCCATTATATCATCGTTAGTTTCTAGAACAGTTGGAACCGCCGATTAAAGCGGTAAACTTCTTAAAGGGACGGGGTACAATACCTAAGGAGACCCTGTATGTGTAAAGTAACACTTGACTTCTAGCTCTCTAAAACCGAAACTCTTCCAACTATATATAGTTTTAAACTTATTACAACACTATAAATCTATTAGATTTATTGAGGACGTTACAGAAGGAATTGATTTAATACAGTCCGAGGAGTCCTAATCCTCCTCGCGCCCGAAAACGGCGTTTCTCTTGTCACATATAGCTGAAAGAGTGCCAATTTTAAATTTAAATTCAAAAATATTCTTTCTAAGAATTAGGATTCTATATCGTGACGAATAACTTAGTCGCAGAACTTAATGGAGATCCCTCACTTTTGTGATCAATTAATCATTAGTTAATTACATGATTATCTAATTAACTCCTCAGGATCCCGCATGTCACAGAATCACGGTAGAATACAACGCTAGTCACGTGACAGTTCACTCGGAGTGTTCTGAGATACCGGGCACTCTCTACTCTGTGCGGGAGAATGAGGTGACGAGAGTGTACTCTTCTCCAGTTATAAGGTACTGCAAACACAAGGAAATATTTTATCAAAGGAGCTGGAATTTTTTCATTCATGTAGCTGCTCATTCATATTGTAAAATAAATGTTTGCGTTGTCCAATCACTCTATAACCGAGAATTATAATCTCAACTCTACAATGACAAGCCCATACTTTACTTAACTGCAGTTAACCTTTTTAAAAGTTATCGTCCTAAAGCTGCAAATGCGCCAAGTCTAACATTAAAGAGGATACCGCGGAATGAAATAAGGAATCTAGATTTGGTGTACAAGAATATCTCATTGTTCAGGGCACCACAAGGCTAAACTGTACAGCTATATACACCAATTAGTTCACTACTGTCTGTATTCTCGACTATTTTAGTTGAATATTCATGGAATATTGTCAAGTTATAACACCGTCACTTTATTGTTCTGTGAATGGTGCTGACTGTGTAATAATCATGAATAAACATCTGGTCTTATATTCACGTTTTGTAGATCCGACAGATGAAACACATTTACATATTATTTCTAAAGTGGGTGTTAGACAATCAAACGATGGACACTTTCAGCTCTAAAAAGTTGAAAAAAATTACATTCATGAATATTGAATTCCAAATTGGATCAAGGTTTTATCAATATTATTTATTGTCCGTTATGGGCGCGCTATTACGGCTATTGTGGCTACAACGTAAAAAAAGCTTCATCCTCCAAAAGACTTGAATAATGGTCCGGTCTTTTATTACGCATAGATATCTGAATGAATGCTATTTGATAAAATAAGTTGTGTGAACTAAAAATCGAAACCAATGGGGAAAATACGCCTAAATAGTAAATACTTAAATTTAAATCGTAAATTCTTATTTAGCTATAAAAACAAACAAAATGTTCAATAATCATCATTTTGAACTATCTTTCTTCACCTTCAAAAATAATTGTGCTCGCTTCAACAATCTCAGTGTCTTAGCATCTCATTAGATCAGAGATCTAAAATACTCGTTTAAAACATGATCTAAATACTGAAAAACGCGGGGGAGTATTACATCTATTGTAAGCGGGAACATTGTATAATAGATTATGTGTATAATAGATTATGTGGATCTCAAATAAACGTGTAAAATTGAGTTTAAATAATGTGTGAAATGTAATTACTTTGTACAATGTACATGATGATAATATGGCGTCTACCTTAATTTAAACACCTTCATATCATCATACTTCGTGTTTTGTGCGCAAAATATTTGACCGATCGCGATCTCTTAAACCTTCACCCTTCATAGTCCACCATTCAAAATACCAGTATGTCTTATAACACTGGTTAACGTTATTGAAGGGCACGATATTTCTGGATCTTACCACACAATGCTCCCCCACAATTACTAGTGACCGCATATTTGCAGCCAAAATAACCCTCATGTGTTGTAACTCTGCAGGTTCAGGGTATACGGACCTATGTTTGGGATCAGGTTACCGCGCTTGAATGGGATCTGTTGGCGGGGGTTTAACATAATGTGTAGTTTGCAACTGTTTAATCTAATAAACTGGAATAGAATGGGTTTTTGTGCAAAATAAAACGTTTTGCCATATATACCGTGTTATGTAAATGGTATGTTTTAAAACTTTAAACGGCTTTAAACCTTTCCATGAAAGAATTATAAGTTGCTTATCAAATTTGTTGGCCTAAAACTGTACTTCAAAATTCTCCTCATTGAACATCAATCCTTGAATTCGGGTGAGTCATGTTTCTTGTGTAGTTTATCCAATTATAACATAACTAAATTAAACGCATCACGTGACAAAGTGAAAGACCACGTGATAATACCACATTACCACATGGTGCGTCATTCAACCATGAAATTCGGCCCTGTTTCCCCAATTCTAATTCATTTCACTAGATCAGGTGTACAAATTCAATGACACTCGTCCTTATTACATCATGTTTTGAATCCGTAATACTGTTCGCTGATTAGATGATGTATATCACGTGTTATAATGCTGAGTTCAACTGGTTGACTCGTTTTATGGAGTTTAAAATCTAAGATTCAGTTGTAGAGTAAGCCACAAACTCAGTTGGGAGACCAACTCATGTAAATTGTAAAGCAGACAATCTACACTTTTTTTCACACAACCCGTTGTCCAATAATTTGAGTTTGGTAGTTTTTCTCAATTCGTCACTCACAAATGAAAAGATCTTAAGTCGCCATAGGCCCTTTAAAATTGCAGCACTGCAAATCTTGGGACGATGCCCAAAGTCTCATTGGTAAAGAGACGCTTCTTCAACTTTAGCATAATCCAAATCCTTTTTTAAACATGTTGAAACTTGACAGTTTGAAGTATGATGAGCTGACCGCAAGTACAAACACAAAAATTATGTAAAAATCAAGTCTTGTGGTTAACATAATATTTACATGGATTATAATATTTTGGCGTGAGTATGAATACCAGTACAAACTTACCTGATCTAGTGAAGTAGTAGTAGTAGACCAGTCTGACTAGTCTGTGTAATCTGTGTAGACTAGTCTGTGTAATCTGTGTAGACTAGTCTGTGTAATCTGTGTAGACTAGTCTGTGTAATCTGTGTAGACTAGTCTGTGGTATTAGAGTGCAGAGAATTATAACCCACATTTTATCAAGTTGTAATATAGCGTCCAGCTACAGTGTAATACAGTGTAATAATGTTAAATAGTCAGTATTACATTAGCAGAACTCAGTATACCGTAATATGAGGATTTTGCGATTTAACGTTTTAAATTATTTACATTACGGGAAGAAAAACAGTTATTTCACTTGTTCTCTCTTCATCACGATTGACCCTTGATTAAGGCAAATAGTCACATTTAACCTCCCCAAGGTTTACATTGAGAAAAGAACCAACATTCAAACACGCCGACTCTCCATATAACACTAACCGTTATAAAACACCCATCATCCATTAACACCATGCACTCTATTCATAGGAGCAATAATTTCTGCCGCACGTGCACAGTGGTCCACGAACAGTAGTCACAGGCGCATGTGTTAAATGGAGTACTGGCATTAACCCTGATATGGGGGGTCCTTTAGTTCTGAAAATTTTGTGGCGAAAATAGTGATACCCCCCCCCCCCCCCCCCATTTACCGTTTGTCCAGTCAGAACCCCTCAAGTTTGCTTAACATAAACTTCCAACCCTATAGTATCCAGTATCCACCAATTAGTTGAGTTAAAAAGGTGCTGATATCCATTACGTAGCGTTCTACACCGTACAACACTTTTCACATTAGCGCTACCTGGCACACCAATTCTAATTGGTTCATATCCCGGCCTCTTGACACAGATCAACCTATCAGAGCCCACCTTCTCAAACACGTGACAGATACCAGCCAATGAGATTGCTCCGTTTTAACACGTGACAAGAGCTTTTTCCGTGATTTGGAAGAGGTGGATCGGAAGTGCATCCTCGTGAACGTTACATGCACAGCTTATACACATGCTTACAGTTGGGTAATTGAAAGGACTACTAAAGGTACATGCTACTAAGGGTGGGGGAGGGGTGTTGTGGTAGAGGAGGGGTGGAAGCAAATGTTAACCTTACTTTAAAATCATTCTGTATAACAAAGCATGCTGTGTTATGGTGATGTTGTTTGTAATTATAAGTAAAGATTTACATTAATTATGCTGCACAATGACACTGAGCTGTGTATATAGTACCATTGTAATAACGCTGGTGTATCTGCTGCTTCACAGAGAGCTCTAACTACAGCTGCGTACTCTTCCGCGCAATCAAGGAAGTGACCGTCCACCAGTCAGATAACGACACATCACAACTGTTCAATCACAGAGCTGCAATCCTGTCACGTGACACAAACCGACCAGTCAGCTGCTGTCTTGTGTATAATCCCGACTGTATTCTGGTGGCGGAACTTTTGTCTGTCTGGTCTAGGCGTCTTCTTCCAGCCCAACATGCTCAGACAGGAATAGAGCGCTCTGATTGGACGGCTGGTGTCACGTGGTCAAAACGCTGTGTTGTGATTGGTTGGTTTGCTTCCGGTTGGCACCCTGGCCCCCAACTGCGGATGTGGTATCTTGGGTTGCTTTCTGTGCCTCTACAGTACACCCGAATGTGTACTCTTACTTTAAAGTTTAAACCTAATCTAGAAGCTTCATGTTCAAAATGTCCCTTTTTTATTCACTTCAAATAACAAAATGTGAGCCTGAGACAGACGAATGTAGATATTTCAGTAAGTCTAGACATCAGAACTGCAGAGTATATATATATATTATACAATACATAAATGTAATGTAATACAGTGCACAGGTTTGCAAAACTTCAACAAGATCGAAATGTTAAAACAATATTCCGTTACCATCCCAACCACCGCGACATAAACTTTAAAAACGTTTCTTTTTTATCCTGAAAATGTGAAAGCTACTATTGGGGGGCCTGTTTCACACAGTGAGAATTGAGAAATATTCTCGTTAAAACGGGGAACTAGACAGTAGACATATTTTACCTTGAGTCGCGTCGATAAGACTTCCTGACAACTAAGAACTTAAGAAGAGAATGTTGAAACGTTTTGTGATGTCCTAACTGTGCTGTGCTCAAATCATACTCTTCATTTGTTGTGCTCAAATCATACTCTTCATTTGTTGTGCTCAAATCATACTCTTCATTTTTTTTTTTTTTTTTTTTTTTTTTGAAACTTTTACAAAATAGCAAATATACAAATGTACAGCAAGTCGAACAAACATATAAAATGGGCCGAAATGTATAAATGCTATAAAGCGTGGGTCAGTGAAACAAGTACAGAGGACAACTTTCAAAACAGGAGTTTTATGGCCGCCCAAAGTCTCAATAACATCACCTCCACCTAGTAATAAAATTATGAAATATGAAAAGTGTGAAACAATCAAATAATAAAATATTCAAAATATATAGTTGTCTCTTAAATACAGATAACGTCTGAAAATTCTTAAAATAATCATCACTCCTTCATATATACTGATCAGTGTCCGAGAGTGTAACTCATGATGACTTCTTAT